CCCAATATATTTACCAGCTACCCCTTTGCTGTACCTGTTACAAGTAAAATACCCTTGTGCAGAACCTGGGGAATAGGCTGAAGCTTCCCCAGAGCAATGTTTGAGTGATATCATGCTAGTGGATCATACAGGAAGGGCAACCAACTTTCAACAAAACAGGAAAAATGGCTAGACAATGTTATCAAATACACATTGTAAACAAACAAGGAGAATAGTTCTCTAATCTCTTTCACTTCTATTCTAGGTTTCAGAGTGATAGCCATGTTAGTCTGTATCAGCAAAAACAACAAGGAGTCCTTGTGGCACCTTAGAGACCAACAAATTTATCTGGGCATAAGCTTTCGTGGGCTAGAACCCACTTCATTAGATGCATGGAGTGCATCTATTCTACTGATCTTGCGGGTTATTTAGAATAGAAATGAAGCATTCAGAGGGAAACATGAGTTTCAAGTTGGCAGTGTTGCTTTTAACTCTCTCACCCTTGTTTCCTGCCACCAGGAACAATGAGTTTATTACAAGCAATAGGTTACATTCTATATACATAGATAGGTTAAGGCAATGCTGAGCTTTCAATTGCATTGAAGTTGGAAAAGCATGTCCCATTGTGCATATGATCTCTCAACTCAGACAGCAAGCAATAGGACTAACATTATAGGATTATAACAGAAGGTACTTGTAAAATGCATACACACCCTACAGTGCTCAGCACACAAACCAGGTGGGGTGTGTATGCATTACATATGCATTTTACAAGTACCTTCTGTTATAATCCCATAATGTTAGTCCTATTGCTTGCTGTCTGAGTTGAGAGGTCATATGCACAATGGGACATGCTTTTCCAACTTCAATGCAATTGAAAGCTCAGCATCGCCTTAACCTATCTACGTATATAGAAGCCTTCAGCACCAAAAATCAAGAGCACCTATCACTGCTCTAGAAGCATTAATTCAGCTGTAAATAAGTATCAGGCAGAAAAGATTACACATACATGCAGGCAAAATAAGGGCTTGTCTACACTGGCAAGTTTTGTCACCAAAAATTGCCTTTTGGTGACAAAACAGCAAGAGTGGTACACACTACAATGGGACTTTCATCACGAAAAACACCTAGGCCCAGTTTTGGCAACTAAAAACTTCCATCCCTATGAGACTTTTTGTCTTCTCCCCTCCCTTTATTGTTGACAAAGCCAGTGTAGACACTGCTGATTGTTTTGTCAACAAAACTGGCTTCTGCCAGTGTCCCACAATGACTGCCCTGATTGCTCTGCTCAGTGTTTTGATCTCTGCTGCCCTGCAGGCATGCGCCCGGCCCCTTTCAAAGCTCCTGGAAGTTGCAAGGATAAATTCCTGGGTTAGTGGTTCTGTTGTGTGGTATGTGGTTGTTGGTGAGTATTTGCTTCAGGTTGCGGGGCTGTCTGTAGGCAAGGACTGGCCTGTCTCCCAAGATTTGTGAGAGTGTTGGGTCATCCTTTAGGATAGGTTGTAGATCCTAAATAATGCGTTGGAGGGGTTTTAGTTGGGGGCTGAAGGAACTTACCCTTGCAACAAAGCCAATTGTGCCCACATATCTATTCAGGGGACACCATCACAGGGCCTAATAACATCAGCCACACTATCAGAGGCTCGTTCACCTGCACATCCACCAATGTGATATATGCCATCATGTGCCAGCAATGCCCCCTGCCATGTACATTGGTCAAACTGGACAGTCTCTACGTAAAAGAATAAATGGACACAAATCAGATGTCAAGAATTATAACATTCATAAACCAGTCGGAGAACACTTCAATCTCTCTGGTCACGCAATCACAGACATGAAGGTCGCTATCTTAAAACAAAAAAACTTCAAATCCAGACTCCAGCGAGAAACTGCTGAATTGGAATTCATTTGCAAATTGGATACTATTAATTTAGGCTTAAATAGAAACTGGGAGTGGCTAAGTCATTATGCAAGGTAGCCTATTTCCTCTTGTTTTTTCCTACCCCCCCCCCCCAATGTTCTGGTTTAACTTGGATTTAAACTTGGAGAGTGGTCAGTTTGGATGAGCTATTACCAGCAGGAGAGTGAGTTTGTGTGTGTATGGGGGTGGGGGGATGTGAGAAAACCTGGATTTGTGCAGGAAATAGCCCAACTTGATTATCATGCACATTGTGTAAAGAGTTGTGACTTTGGATGGGCTATCACCAGCAGGAGAGTGAATTTGTGTGGGGGGGGTGGAGGGTGAGAAAACCTGGATTTCTGCTGGAAATGGCCCAACCTGATGATCACTTTAGATAAGCTATTACCAGCAGGACAGTGGGGTGGGAGGAGGTATTGTTTCATATTCTCTGTGTATATATAAAGTCTGCTGCAGTTTCCACGGTATGCATCTGATGAAGTGAGCTGTAGCTCACGAAAGCTCATGCTCAAATAAATTGGTTAGTCTCTAAGGTGCCACAAGTACTCCTTTTCTTTTCACTGTAGGATACAAACACATGGTGCTTTGCTCACACTGTTGATGATGTCCCCAGTGTGGACGTGATCTGTTGACAGAGGGAGCAAGTGTGAACACTGGCAATTTTTTGTTTTGTCGACTTTTGGGCGTCAACATAAGTTTTGTCAACAAAACTTGGTAGTGTAGACAAGCTCTAAGAGCTACTGGGTTTTCTGACAACAGTGACAGTCAAATAGAGAGCATTTATACATCTAACTCCCCGAGGTGTCGCTAGCAGTAGTTGGTTGTGAAGTGATGGAATGAACGTAAGAACTTGTGTGTAAAGCAACAAGTATTATTGCCACCTGATCCTTATTCAGGCTAGAAAGGCCTATGAATGAGATACACAACCACTTGCTTGCTAGAAGCATCAAGCATTCATGTGACCACTAAGCTGCTAGTGGGATGTCTCAGTGGTCAGTCATGTCTCAGTTTGCAAGTGATCTTTGGAGAGAGGCAACTGTTGCCCGTCTCTAAAATAGAAAATTGAATTAATAGTTTGACTTTGAAGCCTCAAAAATTTAATCATCATACTCATGGTATGCGTTTCCAATTGTAAAGGTAAGGCAACCTACATACTGAACTGGTTAAACACATGAAACGTTGCAAGCGAGAGGGAGACAAAATGTGGTTCTATGAGAAACTGGTCCCTCCTCATTCTATACTGCTACACCATGTGTAGCAGAGTCCCAGCTACACACTGTAGTGTCTAAAGTTCTTCCTGCTTTTCGCTCCTGTGAGTGCCACAGAGACACTAGACAAAGCTAACAGGAGGTTAGGTGCCTATCTCTGCTCAGGATTCACAGCCACGAACCCCTCTTCTGGGGCTAGGCACCCAAGCCAGGCAAGGAGTGTGTTTTTTGTTTTTTTTTTTAAAAAACAGACAAGCAGGGAGATGGTGGCACTGTTCCTCCCCCTTTATAATTTTTGCCCCAGGGGTTAGAGCACTCACCCAGGCTCAATTGCCCTCTCTGCTTCATGTGGAGACGAAACTGGAACTTTGAGTCCCCACCCCACCCCCATTCCCCTGGAAGTGCCCTAGACACTGGTCTATGGAGTATTCTGGGGCATAGATATTAAGGTCAGAAGGGACCATTATGATCTACTCTGACCTCCTGCACAGTGCAGGCCACAGAATCCCACACACTCCTGCGATAAGCCTCTCACCTGTCTGAGCTATTGAAGTCCTCAAATCATGGTTTAAAGACTTCAAGGAGCAGAGAATCCTCCAGCAAGTGACCCGTTCCCCATGCTACAGAGGAAGGCAAAAAACCTCCAGGACCTCTTCCAATCTGCCATGGAGGAAAATTCCTTCCTGACCCCAAATATGGCGATCAGCTGAACCCTGAGCATATTGGCAAGATTCTCCAGCCAGATACTACAGAGAATTCTTTCCTGGGTAACTCAGATCCCACCCCATCGGGCCTATTTACCATGAATATTTAAAGATCAAATTAATTGCCAAAATCATATTATCCCATCATACATGCTTCTCATTCCCTTGTTTGAGCTGTTCTGAGAGAGAAGGACTCCATAGACCAGTGGTTAGGGCATTCTTTTGCGTGCCGGGGGGAGGAGAGAGAGACGACACACACCCAAATTCAAATCCATTCTCCACATCAGGCAGAAAGGAACTGAACCTAGGTCTCCCAACTCCCAGCTGAGAGCTCTAACCAGTGGGCACCCCACCTACTCTCCACTCCTGCCATTTTATGTGGGGTTTGGCATGCTTGGAGAACTCTGAATGGATCAGGCGCCACAGGCAAGATCAAGTAGGTGTTTCCCCACCTGAGGATCCCACTGATACTTAAGTGTGAGATAAGTACCTAGGCACCTCAATTGAGGAGGCTGTGAACATGCTCACTGGCAGAAACTTGGCACCTAAGGAACTTTAGTAGAGGAAGTTTAGGTGCCTAGAGGATTAGGCAGTAGTTGAGTGGGGAATTGAAGATCTGTGTCATGTGGGGCTAGATCCACAAAAAGATTTAGGTGTCAAAATGCAGAGGATACAACAGGAGCATTGTGAATGAGCCCAGAGATGCTACCGTACTTCCAAAGAAGGACATGCATTCAAGGTTGGGCACCATTCAATTCTAGAGACAGTCCAGAGAACAAAAACAATTAGCCTAATCAAAAGTATGGAGGGCTTTAGGGTCAGATTTTTGAAAGGTACTAAGGCTCCTAGAGATGCTTCAACAGGAGTTACGTACCTAAGCAGATAAAACACCTGATTATCTGCATCAATATGTGCCTAAATACCTTTGATCTAAGGGCCAGATTTGCAGAGAGTTTGAGCTCTTCAGCTTACACAGTGTGAAGAGGAAGCGAATGACAGAGGGTGGGGGAAACCCAGCCCTTTTCATTGCCAATGCAAAGGCAGAATCCATAACCTTGGGGTTCAGGTGTGGAATGGGGAAGTGACCGGACCATTGCTGGGACAGCAATGCTATCTCATGGCTGTATGGTGGTGGAACATGGTGATTCTCGTGCACAAGGTTGGATTAACAGACCAAGGAGGAGATTTCAATTAAAAAAAAACCAAAAACACTTTATTAGATGCACACAGTGGCTGGAAAGTACAGTATCCAAAATGCCAGTTCAGTCAGAGACAGATTCCAGCCCAGAAAGAGGGGATCACCCTAGTGACAGGCAGAGCCAACAAGGACATTGCAATCTCACTGCAGCCTTCCCAGTAACAGTGAGCAACCCCTATTGGTACCTGAGGAGACATCCCTCCCACCTTGTGCTGGCAGTGAATCCTCATACCACACCCTGGGGCCATTCCCTACTGGGCACTGGCAGCCCCCACAATGAGCTCTAAGAGTCCTTTGTAAACACACAAATCCTTTGGATAGTTTGCTATGCCAAGCAACTGGGCCAAGCACCAAGGAAGACACTGAATGAAAGGAAATGGAGTAGACACCTTTTGGGAGATGAGGGGAGGAAGAGGGTCCCAAACCCAGCGAGATGCCCCTCTCCAGGCTGACCGGTTTATCTGGCAGTGAAAAGTGTTAGACAGGATCAGCCAGCTGGTGAGATCTGACAGAGGCAGGAAAGCTATAACCTAGCACAGGGGTGGCCAACCTGTGGCTCCAGAATCACATGCAGCTCTTCAGAAGTTAATACGCAGCTCCTCATATAGGCACCGACTCCAGGGCTGGAGCTACAGGCGCCAACTTCCCAATGTGGTGGCGTGTGCTCACTGCTCAACCCCTGGCTCTGCCCCAGGCCTTACCCCAATTCCACCCCTTCCCACCCCCTCCCCTGAGCCTATGCCCTCGCTCCTCCCACATGCCACAAAACAACTGATTGGGGGGGGGGGGGAGGAGGAGAGGTGCTGATTTGTGGCACTACTGGTGGGTGGGCGGTGAGGGAGCTCATGGGGGGCTGCTGACATATTACTGTGGCTCTTTGGCAGTGTACATTGGTAAACTCTGGCTCTTTCTCCGGCTCAGGTTGGTCACCCCTGACCTAGATTAACTCTTTCCAGCCCAGGGAGCAAGGCCACCCACCAAGTTTGGTCTCCACTCTTCTCATAAATACTACATCTAGGAGCATGGGCATGAGAGGGAGACAGCAGAGAAAGGAGCGCTGAAGAGAAAGGCACTTCACCTCACAATGCCAAATACGTGTACTGCTCTGTGGAGTAAAGATACCTTTAGCCTCAGACAACCACTAGGTAGTTCTGCCTAGCTCTACCAGGTGGAGCTGAAGGAGTGAGAGAGCACAGGGCTGGAGAGGCCAGACTATTTAAATATCCATTCTAGAGCAATTTAGGGGAAACAGAGGAATCTCCCATACTCCCCAGTCTGGAATGCACTGTGGCCAGGAAAAGCGGGCATTGCAGAAGGGGATCCTGGCACGGAGGAGGGGATTAGGGGTGGTGATCCCTGTGTGAAGGAAGGACTGCTGCCAGGGTATCTGTAGGTAGGAATGTGCCCTGTGGGGCAAAGGGATTGGACCATTGAGAGCAGGGGAATGCAGGCCATTGGTATGGGGGAGGAGAGGTATCAGGGGCCCACCCCACTCCAAGCCCCTCAGCGCGCAGCTTTGGCACGAGTGGTGTGACACTTCATACACAGTACGTGACCATCCAGAGGGAAGCAGCCATTCTCATCTGCCTCAATAGACAAGGGCCTCTCACAGTCCTGGGGAGGAGAAGATGAATGAAGTTCAGTGACAACTAACACTAATGTGAATGAGATGGGGGGGAGGGGGAGGAGAAGAGACAGATGCACATGGGGGACTCCCGTGGGAGGGTTGACAGGCTTGAGAACAGGACAATGCCATAGTGAGACATGGACAGGAAATGGACATAGGGAAAACGGAGGGAGATTTGGAAGAGCGGCTGGTTACCTCGCACTTATAGCACTTCATATGGAAGTTCTTCTCCAAGGCCACCACACGCACGGTCTCATCCTTTCCGGGCTCTGGCATGATGGGCTCGGCACAGACTGAGCAGCGGGGGGCATACTTCCTGCAGCACACAGAGGAGAGGAGACACTGACAACAGCAGCCTTCCCAATGGGGATCCAGTCAGAGAGGCAGCCTGGTATGGAAGAGGGCCTCCCTGCAGCAAGGATGGCGGGGGGAGGTGCGGGAGAGGGGCTCCCCTCTCTTGGGAGACTACCTACCTATGGGGCTGGCTCCTCCTCTGGCCAGAGGCCTCCTGCCTACCTGTGATAGTCATCCACACAGTGGGGCTGATTGGCCTGGTCCACAATGAAAGAGGCTCCCTCGAGTGGGGTCTGGCACACCACACAGGTGAAGCACTGGGGATGGTATGAGTTGCCTGTGGCTTTCAGCATCCGGTCTGTGATGGTTTGTTTGCAGACACTGCACTTCTCCAGGGTACCCTAGGGAGAGGAAAGAGCAAGTGAACCAGAGACAAGAGCCCAACCCAACAGTATCCCCAGGGTGGCACACTGGACAGGAGGGGCAGCCCTCCTTCAGGCAATTGAGGGAGGGGAGACTGGGGCAGGCCAACCACACAGGGCCCTGTGCCCACTGAGAGCACAGCAGCAACCCCAAGCCCATTCCCCTTCCAGCACAGCAATGCCCCAACACCCTGGGCCCCTTCATCACTCACAGCATAGCAGTCCTCACAGAAGGGCTTCTCGTCCACATTGTAGAACTGCTGCCCCTGCAGCTGCTTCTCACACTTGAAGCAGGTGAAGCACTCCACATGGAAGAGATGGTCAAGAGCACGTACAGCTGGCTGAGTTCGGGACAAGGGCCTCCGGCAGAGGCCGCACAGCTCTGCCACAGGAGGGGGGAGAGGGTTAGAGAAGGGGGATAGCCACCACAACCCAGACTGTAATACCCAGCTTCTCCATGGGGGGATCTCACTTGCCAGCACCCACCAGAAGTGGAGGCTTCTGCATGGGGTGGGTGCTCCATATCCTTCATGAGTTTCTGGGTTAGCATCTCCAGCTCCTCCACCTCTTTCATGGTCAGTGAGGTGTTTCCCCTGGGGGACTCTGAACCAGTGCCCACAGGAGCCCTGTGCTGCAGAAAGGCAGAGGAAGACATTCAGTGCCAGAGAGCATTTACTGGGGGACAGGAGCCTCCCTCCCTCCATGTTTGCACCCCCTTCCCCACTGGCACAGTATCTCTCAGGAGCACCCTGCAATGCCTGCCCCCTTCCCTGGTATCTCTGGGGAACACCCTTCTCCACATACTGCCTGCCCCCTCCCCTCAAATAAGATATAGTGAAGGCTCTTCCTTAGCTGATCCCTCTCAGATAGGAGTACTAACTTTCCTCACATTGGAGGGAATGCTGTTTCTCCCCCTCCCCGACACACTCCCTGTCACAAGCTATCTGAAGTGTGGCTCTGCTCCTTACCATGTCCTGTGGGGCAGCAGGCTGTCCTGTGGGACATGGCTTCTCCTGCACCTGAGGTCTCTCCCGCTGCTGGGCATAGGTGAAACTGGGAGGCTGGGGCCTTGGGGCCAAGCCCATAGCTGAAGGGGCTGTGAATCGGGTCTGAGCAGGGGGTGGGGCAGTAAATCTCATGGAGTTTGTGGGGACCCCAGAAGCACTGGCAGCTGGTTTGGATCCAAATTTGGGGGAGCTGGCAACCGGGGATGGAGTAAATTTGGGGGCAGGCTGGCCTGAGGTAAGAAGGTGCGCAGATGGGGCTGGTGCTTTGGACTGCGTTGCTGTGGGGTCTCTACGTTGCAGTGGGGCTGCCCAAGGTGCTGGTGCAGGGACCACATCCACTTCAGATGGTTTTGGCATGAAGCCTCCACTGGGTTTTGGGGTGAACTTAGGGGGGAAAGAAGCAGGAGCTAGGGGATCTTTAGGCACAGCCATGATTTCTATATGGCCTTTCGGGGCAGGAGGTGTTTCCAGGGGAGCTGTGGATCCTGGAGACACCTGCAAGGAGAACAGATAGGGAGAACAGACAGCCAATCAGTATTATGAAGTGATAATCCACCATGCTTTGCAGGGAGTGTTAATGCACTTCAGTATAAGGTCCTTGGAGAGTCTGCATCACTGCTTGAGGCAATCCCCAACCTCAGACACACACTGAGCTCATCCACTCCCACAGACTGAGGGAAGGCTAGAGCTGCCCTTCTTTCTTCTCCCTGACTCCACATCCCACCTCATCTATCTGGCTAACCCTTCAATCCACTAAACATCCCTGACATCTCAGTTGCAGGACTGTTTCCCCCCCTTCCAGCTATGCTCCCTCTCCCTATGGTTTATCTATTCATTTCCTACTTCAGGAACAGCTCCAGCTACCCCTTCCCCCACCCCCACAATATCCCCATTCAGCCATCCCTTCTGACCCCACCTCACCCCTACTGAAACCAGCCTACCACCCCTTCCCTTCAACATGATCCATCCAGAGAGCGCAATGTACCCTAGAGGGCAGCTCCACCCGGGATTTGAAGGGGTCATTCTTCTCCATGTCATCCAGCATTGAGGACAGTGAGTCAATCTCCAGATCAATGCTATTCATCTTCCCACGCACCTGTGTCATCAACCAATGGGGGAGGAAGGAGCAATAGGACATGTTACGTGACTCACCCCTATCAGGAACAGCTGCAAACCTGGGGTCATCCCTATCCAACCCCACAGTCCTCTGCTGCAATAGAATGCTGTGAGTCTTGGATCATAGCATAATCCTACAACTCATTTTGGTTGAGAGGCAAGCTGGAGGTGATGGTGGGGGTTAGGTGCATGCTGTGGGAGCACTGTGGGCAGTACGGAATGCAGGCCCAGACAGATGGTGCCACAGTAGTGACCTCTCCAGGAACAAAGCACTCTGAAAACACTGAGGAGGTGCCTGAAGTGAGAGCTTCTCTGCTCCCAGCATCTTCCCAGTGCTGAGGTGTGCGTGCAGAAATGTTGACTCAAGGCCACACAGCCCTGCCAAGTGCCTGTATGTGTTCAGAACAGAGGGAACTAGAGTGGCCCACCTAAGAAAAGAACCCCAGACTAGCCATGGCTATACTTACCTGTGGGGCAGGTACCCCAGTCACAAGCCCCTCGTCAGCCATGGGGGGAGGGGGAGAAGGAAAAACCTCTTCTGGGGCTGGGGGGAAGGGCTCTTCGAATGGCGGTGGGGGCGGGGGGAAAGCACTGGTTGGGGAGATGACTGTCTCCTCTCCTGGAGGGGGCGGAGGTGGCAGTGGAAGTTCTGCAGGTAAGAACAAGGAAAAGAAAAAAAGGACAGGTTTTGACCATGCTTCTCCAGCAACACTCAGACAGAAGATCCGAGAGCTTGTCAGACCAGAGACACAAGAACTGTGAAACTATGGGGTCTCTAACTCTCATCCCACAGGGACCACAACCCTCACGAGCTTGGCATCACACAGACTATTCCCCAACACATTTGCCAGTGCATAGAAGACACAAACACAGCAATTGTGCACCTTGGAGAGTTACCATAGCATTTAATGTATTTTAGATGCAGACTAAGGTCAGAAGGGACAAACTGTGATCATCCAGTCTGATCTCCTGCACACTGTGATGGGGTGTGCATACCCCACACTGGGCCAGAAGGGATTAACACCACACTATGGGCAGAGGAATGATCCAAGTGCTATGCCAGTATAAAAGGGAGCAGCCCAGTCTGGACTGACTGATGGAGAGGGAGGACCTTGGTGGAGTCTCTAACTGGGAAGCCATCACAGCCCTTGCTTGCAGGAGCTAGAGATCTCAAGAACCAGACTGGATATCTGTGGCCAATGAAGCCCCAGGGATTAACCTGGGCTGAAGAGCCCAAAGACCCTGATAGCCTATGGACTACAGCTTCAGAAAGCATGGCAGAAAGTGACTCAGGGAGGGTGAGCAAGTGATATCCCCACCTGTGTGAGGTCAGCATGTTTCGTTGGGATTCCCCGCTGACCCAGTGGTGGTCCACTTTGCCACTGATAGGGCCCTGGGTTGGGGTCTGGTGGAGTTGGGTGGGCCCAGGCCCCCCTACCTGGGCTGCCACACCCCTGGTAGCAGCCCCTTGGATAATGGCTGCTAGGCCATGCGACCCTGAACCCAAGGGCTGCTGCTTTCACTCTGGCTCTTGGACCTCTATGTGGTGAGGTATGAGACAGTCAGGTAGACAGTAACCGCAGTGTCCACACACCCACTATCCACCCTGGCAGGGGAAGGGGTGTGCATATACCACCATGCATGTTTGCCCTTATTTAAATATCTCCCTTCCCAGCCATTTTGTCCTCTCTCCTCATTCTCCTGCACATGCTTCTCCAGTGCCTGATCCTCTCCCACTAGCAGGTGGCTTCCCATTTCCTCTCTTACTCCTACATAGCAGCTTCCATTAGGACAGGTTAGAGTGCCTATTCCTCATTTTCCAGTACCTTTTTAGGCACCCAGGCTTTTTGCAATGAAGAGCCTAGAAGGCTAAATAGATCAAGTCCAAGCAGATATGACCATATAACCTGCCAGCAAGTACACATGGATGACAGGTTTGGGAACCGATGCATTAGACCAGTGATTGTAAACCCTAGCTACATGTACCCCTGGGCGTATGCAGAAGTCTTCCAGGGAGTACATCAACTCCTCTAGATATTTGCCTAGTTTTACAACAGGCTACATAAAAAGCAATAGCAAAGTCAGTACAAACTAAAATTTCATACAATGAGTTGTTTATACTGCTCTATATACTATGTACTTACACTTCAGCATAATATTTATATTCCAGTTGATTTTCTAATCATATGGTAAAAGTTAGAAAGCAAGCAATTTTTCAGTACTAGTGTGCTATGACTCTTATATTTGTGTCATTTTGTTAAGCAGGCAGTTTAAGTGAGGTGAAACTTGGGGGTACACAAGACAGATCAGACTCCTGAAAGGGGTACAGTAGTCTGGAAAGATAGAGAGCCACTGCATTAGGCTATCTGGCCCATCACACAAACCAGACACTAGGGTGCTGTTGTAGGCCGCTATTCTTTTTCTGGTAGCTGAAAGAAACATTGACTTTGGGGTTAAAGTTTTCCATGCCTGGTCTCCACAAGGCCTTGAGAAACTTACCAGACACCTTCTTGACAGAGGTAGAGAAGAAAGAGGAAGGGACCCATAAGTCCAGGGATCGTGCTCTGGTGAAAAACTCCATTCCCCTCCAGTTGTTGAGGTTCTTATGAGGCAGATGTCCTCAAGCCAGCAGAGCTCAGATAAACCTGTACCCTCTTCTCCTCCCCACCTTCTACAAGAGAATAGAACTCTCCTTGCATTCTCTCCTCCCCTCAACCCAAAGCTACAAAGGCTTCTGGCTCCTGCTAGGAAAGGGAAGGCATCCACTATTATATCCCTTACCCGAAATCCACTGTGTCTATTGCTGCTTATAGTTACCCCTGACTAGCAGCATGAAATTGACCTGATTATTGTCCATTCCACTGCTGGATACAGAACTCTGAGCAGGAGCAGCAGAAGTGAAACTTTCTAGCCTTGTTGGTTTTGACTTGCTGCTGCTTGGGGAAGTTAGACTCAACCATCAGCAATATGCTGGATCACATTTGAGAGGTTCTCTTCAAAACTACAAGGGATAGGATACACCTTTTCTTAAGATTTCCTTTTAGCCAAGGTGCACCGTGAATTTGGTTTCAGAGTAGCAGCCGTGTTAGTCTGTATTCGCAAAAAGAAAAGGAGTACTTGTGGCACCTTAGAGACTAACATTTATTTGAGCATAAGCTTCCGTGAGCTACAGCTCACTGAATTTCCACTGAATGCATCCGATGAAGTGAGCTGTAGCTCACGGAAGCTTATGCTCAAATAAATGTTAGTCTCTAAGGTGCCACAAGTACTCCTTTTCTCTTTTCGTGAATTTGGTGTTATGCAGACTTGCTCTCAAGCCGCTCTCATTCTCCAAATTTCTGCCTTCATTTAAAAAAAAAAGTTTAACTGTTATGGTTGCAAAGAAAACCATGAAGATGTGATACAAACATAACCATAGCAGCATGGTCTGCTCAAGTTTACAGAGAGCCCAAAACAAGAACTCAGGGATGTGGGCACTGCCCATTCACCTAAGCCAGGGGTGGCCAACCTGTGGCTCCGGAACCACATGCAGCTCCTTGTATAGGCACAGACTACAGGGCTGGAGCTACAGGCACCAACTTTCCAATGGGCTGGGGGATGCTCACTGCTCAACGCCTGGCTCTGCCACAGACCCTGCCCCCACTCCACCCCTGAATCTGCAGTGCCCTTGCTTCTCCCTTCTACCATCCCAAAGGCTCCTGCTTGCCATGAAACAGTTAATCGGGAGGTGCGGGGAGGTGCTGATTAGGGGCTGCTGATGTATTACTGTGGCTCTTTGGCAACGAACATTGCCAAAATTCTGGCTCCTTTTCAGCCTCAGGTTGGCCAACCCTGATCTAAGCATCTGTTAAAGTATCAATCGGTATTGAAGTTAACTGTCACTGTTAACTCTTTCACTGCTCAAAGCATGTAAAAAACAAAAAGGATCTACTCTGAGTGACAAACTCATTTTGGCACCACAAGTTAGTAGATACCATTTGTTTTTTCCCCTCCCTGTTCAAGGAGCGGGACCCACTGCACCCAGAAGAGCTCATGGAAGGAGCCAGGTACAGAAAGCCCAGTGGAACACGTGATCATATTCTGAACATCTGCATAGTCTATTGCTAGAACCATCTCATTTTCTCCTCAAGAGGGCAGAGCTTATTTTTGTAGCTAGAGCATGAGAAAGTACCACCACCTTCACCCCGAACCTACAATTTGACCCCCAACTCAGGGAAAGCTTCCTGCTTGCCACCAGCAAATGGAATTTTCAAACCTTGGTTTCTGCATGCGTGCACACACCGCCCCCGCAACTGAATGGAAAGTTCAAGCAAAGTCCATTTAGCTGTTTCAGCTGGAGAAGGAAAGATAATGCTGGAAGATTGAATGCAAAAAAAAATAGTTGCTCAACCACCACAAAGCAGTTTGCAAAATGGAACCAAGATCTGCCAGGATGGTAGGTGCAGTACCAGGACAGATTATGAATTAGCCACCAAAATGGCTTCATACCATTATTCATAAAGGATTAATTGGTTAGTTACTGCACCTACACTAGCTTGATCTTAATCCTAAATAGTAGATATGAGAGAATTCTTATAGCAATATTTACTTGCCATGTTGCATAGAAGCAGCATTTTCTCTTCCCATTTAACATTATACTACTAGTGTTTTTTGTGTACTACTAGTTGAGTCTGTCTGTGCAGCATGGCTGAGTTTCATAGACTTTAAGGCCAGAAGAGACCATCAAATCATCTAGTCTGACCTCCTCTATAAAAACAGGCCACAGAAGTTGATACAGTTAACACTGCATTACTTGATTTTGTATTTAGTTTCCACATTAACATGGTATTTTCTCTTTACTCTCTCTCCATAACACAAAGGCAGTGTCTCTCCACAATTAAGCTTCAAAATTCACAAAACCAATCTGCATGAAGTCTGTCTTTGGCCTCTTGCCCTTAGACTTTTGTTGCAAGTTTGAGTGAATCAGAGAGGAAATTTATAGATAGGGAAGTTACGTGAAAAAAGCTTCCTAGAATATCAGGATTGAAAGGGACTTCAGGAGGTCATTTAGTCCAACTCCCTGCTCGAAGCAGGGCCATTCCCAAACTAAATCATCCCAGCAAGGGCTTTGTCAAGCCTGACCTTGAAAACCTCTAAGGAAGGTGATTCCACCACCTCCCTAGGTAACCCATTCCAGTGCTTCACCACCCTCCTAGTGAAAATGTTTTTCCTAATGTCCAACCTAAACCTCCCCCACTGCACCTTGAGACCATTACTCCTTGTTCTGTCATCTGCTACCTGCTACCGTTGAGAACAGTTAGATCCATCCTCTTTGGAACCCCTCCCCCCTCTTCAGGTAGTTGAAAGCAGCTGTCAAATCCCCCTTCATTCTTCTCTTCCGCAGAAGAAATAATCCCAGTTCCCTCAGCCTCTCCTCATAAGTCATGTGCTCCAGGCCCCTAATTACTTTTGTTGCCCTCCATTGGACTCTTTACAAGAAGGATGTGGAAAAATTGGAGTGTGGGGTGCAAAACTGGACACAGTACTCCAGATGAGGCCTCACCAATGTCGAACAGAGGTGAATGATCATGTCCCTCGATCTGCTGGCAATGCCCCTACTTATACAGCCCAAAATGCCATTAGCCTTATTGGCAACAAGGGCACACTGTT